CTCTGCTATAGAGAAATTAACGGAAACGGCTCAGGTAGTACACAAAGTCCACTTGATATTTAGCTCTCTTTTTTGTGATTGCTGTGATTTTCTGATGGGAGAGTGCTCAATCCATGTCATAAATGAAATGCTGTAACTAGTACACACTCATGGCTCCTGGAGGGAATGCAATTGTGTAAGTTCCTTATGGAGATACTCAAACGCTTCCTTGGGACGGAATTCCAGACCATATTCCAGCTTTCCAGATTTTATGGGATTTTGTTGGTTCCAAGACACGAACAGGCACGAACAGCCCCATGTTGATCGTCCTAGAGAGTTTCCGCAGCAGTGTTTGTTTCATGTCGCAACCAACTGTCCCTTCTGTGATGCGTGGTCTCTGCAGAGTTTTACAAGTGTTTGGTGCAGATCATTTGGCTCCACCAGGCAGTTGTCCTAGGTTTGATATATCCTGTTCTCATGGATGCAACAAATCATCACTTTCAGTGATTCTTTAAAAACTGAGGCCAAGTTTGCAACATCTAAAATGGAATTACTGGATTTGTCTTTATGTTCAGGCAGAAGTGCTTGCATAAGAACCTTGGTCAGAAAGGTGTGTTCAGCACCATGACCTCATTTTCCCCTAGCTTCTGCAGTGTCTTTTGTATTATGAGACATTGTTCATGACAAAAAGTTTTTGAATAGCATGAAGACATCCAGTAATTCATGTATTTGCTGTCCCTTTTAATTGGATGCGTGAGAGGGTTAAGGAAAGTTAGAAAGTTAAGGCACCTCATTGTGTTTATAGTGTTTGGAAGCTGTGAAGGACATTAAAGACATACTGACTGACACTGATTACATAAGTTTTTGTAAATTGATAGGCCCTAGAGATATTCGCTAGTTCAGCCACTTGAATTAAAGTTCTTGCTATGTGATTGGATTTTGTAAGGGAGTCTGGAGTAGCAATTGCATGACCAGTCTGGTGTCTCTTTCAATGTTTAAGATAAGATTAAAAATCTATTAATTCAAAAACTTGTCTGAGAGTGTCCAAAAGATTGAGCCTAGACATGGACACTTCCTGAAAGTCAGAAGCACAATCATGAGGTTCCCTTCATTGAGAAATGTGTTAGAGTTTAAAAATAGGAGAAGTTAATATTTCACATTTACTCAGCCAGCTGGTAGAAAAATGTTAGGTGTTTTCAGAAAGTTATAGTCTATCACTTAGAGAGCAGGATAGTTGGTACTCTATGCGGTTCCATCATATTTCATGGCGACTGCAGTACAAATTCTGGAGATGCTTCAAACAATGTAGCTGAGGCTACAATGATTTTGAGACAAGGACGTTAAGACTTTGCTACTGTGTCAGGAGACCAACAATAATAGATTTTTGTTGTTTGCCATGATGTTGAGGAATATCCCTAGGACACAACTTTCCTTTTTGTTTCTTTAATTTTATGGGGAGTTGCAGGAGGAGAGAGAGACAGAGAGAGACAGAGAATCTCAAGCAGGTTCCATGGGAAGCCTGAAGCAGGGCTCAAGCCATGAAACTGGGATCTTGACCTGAGCTGAAATCAAGATCAAGTGTTCAATAGACTGAGCCAGCCAGGAGGCCCACAACCTTACTTTTAATGTACATACCCAGAGAATGCGTATTACAATCAAATATCGTATGATCAGCAGTCCTGTTGAGGTGTATGGGGTCACCTAGGGTTTATTATCTTCAGAACTGAGCATAGAAACTATCAGACTGTGGTTCAACTGGGGTAATCAAAAATATACATCCAAAGGTTGGATAACCTTATGACCAAACTCTGGTTTCCTCTGCACTTTCTGAACAGAGCTGAGCTGTCAAACTAAACAGTGAAGAGAAGAGACCTCAGTGACAGGATATATTGTCTGAAGGCTTCAGTCTAAACTCTTCAGCAAAGAGTGACTAGATTTTTCTGCTTTTGGCCCCAACATGGAGACATGAACAGATACTGAGAGAGAAGAGAAATACTGACATAATAACAGGTAGACTGAAAGAGCTACAGTGATTAGTCTAAACACTTTGCCTTCTTATCATAACGTGATTTATTTCTACGTTAGGTGATAAAACATAGCGTGAACATACATGATTCTTAATCTTATGTTGTTTTCATAATCCATCACAGGTAGTATTTTTAAGTGAGTGCCATCCACCCACTTTCATCACAGACGCGATGAATGAACGTATCACAGTTAAACCATCAAGCCTCATTTCAGTGTTAAATTTTACAAGTTCTTTTTCAGATGGAATTGTTTCCAAGTTAAGAGTCGCTTAATGCGAAAGGATGTTTGGGCAGTGAGACTCTCAGCTGGTATAGGGAGAAGTGTGACATGACCCACACAACGTGCTACCCCAGGAAGCCCCTGTTTCCTGTTCTGGGGCGGCAGCAGCACATACCCAGCCATCCTTCCCTCACCTGGCATGCTCCCCTCACAGTGCCCAGCCCTGAAATTGAAGTAGACATTTACCATTTACCATGAGTGGAAGATCTCAAACATGCTTCTGTCCAGCCTTCCGAAGGTGGTCACGGCTTCAAGGTAGGGTCATGTGTCTAAGTGGGGATGGCCCCTGTGAAAACGTCCCTACCCAGTTACCTAAAAACGGGAGATAGGCAGTGTCTTGTGGGGACCTTGGGAGGGAGGCATAGTGGTATACAAAAGGATTTCTTTGTGCCACATCGCTCTAAAACCTCTGATTCCATGTTTTTTTCCTTCAGGATCCAATATTGTCCCGAAGGGAACTCAGGCCCAACCAGCAGTGTTAGTGCAGGACAAGGGGGCTGTCATCCTGGAATGCACATATGACCCCAGTGATCTAAGTTACAGTCTGTTGTGACACAAGCAGCCCAGCAGTGGGAAGATGATTTTCCTTATTCTTCAGGATTCTTAGAGTGAACAAAATGCCACAGAAGGTTGCTACTCATTCAATTTCCAGAAGATGAGAAAATCCATCCATCTTGCCATCTCAGCTTCATAGCTATAGGACTCCCCAGTGTATTTCTCTGCACTGACGGAGTCTACAGTGAGAAGCGTGTTGGAGGGAGGTGCCCAAACCCCAGGGCTCTTGTTGATACATCCCTCTGCTGTAGGGCCCAAGGCAGGGAGTTGCCGTCCCATACAGGAAGTGCCTAGGGCTGTGGCAGCTCAGATGTAGGGTTAGAGGGAAAACCTGACTCTAAGAAAATACCTCCCTAGGTAAGAAAGATCATGCATCAAAAACATCCTGATCCCTGAAAATCTGTATTGAAATTGTTCATTGAGGGGCACCTGAGTGGCTCAGTCAGAAGCATCTGACCTGGGCTCAGGTCATGATCTCATGATTCGTGTGTTGAGCCCCACATCAGGCTCTCTGCTGTAAGCACAGAACCCGCTTCAGATCCTCCAACTCCCTCTCTCACTGCCCCTCCCCCACTCTCTCTCTCTCTCTTTCTCTCTTTCTCTCTCTCTCTCACACACACACACACACACACGCACACACTCTCTCTCTCCCTCTGTCAAAAATAAACATTAAAAAAAAGAAAGAAATTGTTTATTGATGACTACAAGAGCACCGTAAAGAATTTGCCATTTTGCCATTAGATTCAGCTAGAAGAACTGGCTAAAGAAATTTGGAAACATGTGACTCAAAAATCAGCTAAAATGTGTTTGAGTTGTTTTTTTTTAAAGAGTTATAGATAATGACTTCCTCTTTATTTTCAAGCCAGCACCATCCACACCTATCTGGAATTCTCCCTGTATATTTAAATAGAAGTTTCATGCTGCTTGTCCCAAATTCCTTCCAGCATAGTTTTAAGGCAGGTTCTGACAATGTGATTTGCAAGGTGGAGGAGAAGCGAAGGGATGTGTGAACACAAAAGTTATCCAGGCCCGAGTTTCTTACTTCCCTCTGCATCTGGGAAAACATTCCCATGTTGCTCTGGGAAGCTGCTTGATGTGAATCTGTGGAGTGGCCCCAGCAAACAGCCTGAGCTAAACTTCCATCTATGTGTCTGGAGATAAACGTTTACAGGGCTACAGAAGATGTGTGCCTCTCCAAAACTTATCCTGATAATCCTGATTCCTTACCTTGTGAGGAAAAATTATTTGATTAAAGCTTGGCAGCAAACTCTAATAGAAAGCACCTTTGAGGCTAAAACTTGTTAATAGTATAGGATTAATAATTGTTGCCTAATTCACATAACAGTCACCTTATACATATAAGAGTCAACAAAACAGTGAGAGAATGAGATAAGAATCTCAGATCATTCAATAGGAATTCGACAACTTCATTTATGATGTTTCTTCTGTCTAGAATTCACACTATTTTACTTTTTAATGATTTTGAAAATGAGGAATACTTGACGACTAAAATATTTGACTATAAAATAGTATGACTTTTCTACTGGAAAGCTTTTATTAAGAAGATTGTATTCCTTACAATTCATATTATTTTAGGACCAAGAAATACTGTATTTCAATTAAAAGCTATTTGTTTATAAATTTTGTTTAAGATTATTTAGTGAGTGCTTAAAAAAGGACAGTGGGTATTCTAAATATTGGGTTACAATGCTGAAAAACACAGAAGCACTCAGTAATGAGTTGGCTTCTTATAACTTTCTATATATTCAACCTCAACCCTTTTCTGGGGGTCAGTGGATTATAGGCTGGCCCACAGTGGATACGTGAAAGCATAAAGTACTGTATTTAATGCTTTAGAGACTGTTATCCTCTCAGCTACAGAAACGTGCTGGGATGTTCTGTTAAAGAACTTCCACATCAGGTAGTGTCCTAAGAAGAAAGTAGACCTGGGAGGTCAGGATTGCTGCTGTTCAGATTTCCAAGTGCCACCTGAAGACTGCCATGCGCCTCATAAAGTCAGGGACAAAGACATCTTGCTGACTCTGGGAGGACTCTGGCCACCATGCACCTTTTTTCAGTCCCCGTCCAGCAGGGGGTGCAGCTTCCTAACATAAACACCTTTCCTGAGAAATGTGGGCTTCCACTGATCATTGCTCTGTCTCTCTAATGCTTCCTGCTACGAATGAAGCACATTAGCTAGGTGACACTCTAGAGATGAACTCTTCTCCAGGCTTCGTGACTGTGGTACTCTTGATGCTTGGTAAGTAAAATGCCTCTTAGTATTTGGATTGTTTCATCTATTGTGACAGCAAAACCTATAACTCTAATTTTATCCAGGAGATTTGTGCCCAAGGTAACACAGGTCTCTTTTCTTTTTTCCCAGGACGAACCCACGGAGACTCAGTGACCCAGATGGAAGGCCCAGTGACCCTCTCCAAAGGGGAGTCCCTGACTATAAACTGTACTTATTCAGCGACAGGGTACCCCACTCTTTTCTGGTATGTCCAGTATCCTGGAGAAGGTCCACAGCTCCTCCTGAAAGCCTTGAGGGACAAGGAGAAGGGAAGTCACAAAGGTTTTGAAGCCACCTATGACGGAAAATCCAAAACCTTCCACTTGGTGAAATCCTCAGTGCAAGTGTCAGATTCGGCTGTGTACTACTGTGCCCTGAGTGACACAGTGACAGGGACTGCAGGGGGAGCTGAGCGCAAACTCTGAGCAGAACAGGGCCTGGGATGCTGAGCATCTCTGACTGATCCACTCTGGTTCCAGCACTCTGTATGGTGGTTTGCCCCTCAGTGTCTGCTTGATACACAAGTCATACAAATGGCTAGAGCATGGGAACCAGAAGGAACATTCCCCAAACCCAGCTGTTCATTAGTGCAATGAGAAATTCCAGTAGTTCCTCCGTCAGGACCTAAGTAATTTCAAGGTGAAACCACATAACATTGAAGTGGTGTCTTGCTCACCCTGCAGTGAAAGTCCAGCCCCACAAGCTGCTGAGGCCCCCCTGGTGGGTATTGCTGTGTCCAATGACACACTGAGAGAGCCAGGGTGTGCCCGAGAAGGTGGTGTCCGTCCCATGTCTTCCTGACAGAGGATGGGCAGGAGAGGTGATGGGAGAGCTGCAGCCCCAAACCAGGTTTGAACAGAGAAAGAAGGGGAGGGAAGACAGGAGGGGAACATATGGAAGTGACAATGAAAGAGAGGCAAGGGACCTGTGGCCTAGTTTCTTTTCTAGTAAATCAGATTGTAGACACAGGCTGATGTTCAAAATGAAGGGAGAGGGCAGACACATAATTGAGGAAATGACTCATGTCCAGGCCAGTTAAGTAGATCAGTTGGCTTTGGAACAGTAAGAACTCGAGTGAGATGGTTTTCAGTGCTCAGGCAATATGGTGAGATTAAATGCTCTTGGACTGACTTTTTATAACAATATAGATACATAGGTCATACTGGCAGAAAATCCTATAGATTTCTCCGATGTCTCTCCCAGAGGGAGAAAAATCATGGGTTTTGGAAATGATATGGGATGAGGAGAAATAGTGAAAATGACGATAGAAAAAGCAAACTCTGCATTGCCCTGCAAATATACTGCCAGACTTTGCAAATATTACAATCTTCTTTAAATATTCTCTCCTTATCAGCTGATTTTATGAGTGAGCCATGATCAGAATATTAATACATTTCCTTATATATTAGTTATATATTCGTGATTTAAATTAATTTTTTATGGGGCAGCTGGGTGGCTTAGTCAGTTAAACATCTGGCTTCAGCTCAGGTCATGATCTCGTGGTTTGTGAGTTCGAGCCCCATGTCAGGCTCTGTGCTGACAGTTCGGAGCCTGGAGCCTGCTTCAGATTCTGTGTCCACCTCTTTCTCTTCCCGTCCCCTGCTCATGCTGTCTCTTTCTGTCTCTCAAAAATAAATAAACATTAAAAAATTTAAAAAATATATTTTTTTATTTAATTGGTTAAAATGTAAATTTTACAGTCAAACCTTGGTTTGCGAGCATAGCTTGCTCTGGAAACATGCTTGTAATCTAAAGCACTTGTATATGAAAGGAAATTTCCCCATAAGAAATCATGGAAACTTAGATGACTCATTCTACAACCCAAAAATATTCATTTAAAAATGATTACAGTACTGTAATATAATACAAAATAAAAAGAACATACTAATCATAAGGAAAAATAAACAGATTAACCTTGCACTTCCCTTTGAAAACCTTTGTGACCGGTGTGAGGGAGATAAGAGAGAGGAAGGTTAGTATGTAGGATGACTTTCACTATCACTAATGGAATCATTGCTATCTATTGGCTCAATGGAATCTTTTTTTCTTGCAACTTTAACAAGGAACCTATCCAATGACACTTGCTTTTGCCTCCTTTTGAGGATTTTGCAGAAATGTGACATTGCATTGTTGTTAAAAGGATTCATTGCTCGCACTGCTACAGCGTTATTCAGGTGGTGATTGTCTACAAAATTTTGCACTATTTCCACATTTTACACATCTCCCTAATGTCATTTGAAGTGAGGGATTCCTCCACCTTTTCCTCCTCCTCCTCCTCTATAGAGGAGATGCAGATGTAGACTTCTCATAAAACCTTGGAATTTTGGCCACTCGCATACCTTATTGGTACTTCTCCATGACTTCTTTCTCAACTTCCACTGTAATCATCTCCTTCTTCTTACCACCTTTCCTTTCAACCTTTTTCTGCATGGGGGCTACTGTATACACTCGCATGGATGTTGACTACAGTACAGTGTTAATAAACTCTTGTCACATACTGTATTTAATGTAACTGGCAATAAGGCAGCATAGGAAAGGGTCTATATCTGCAGGCAGCCTGACCTAGAATGAAGCACAGCATTCCTAAGCTCACTCTAGTATGGAAAAGCAAGAGTGTCCATACACTGTCCATAGGTGCTTTGAAATGACAAAAAACATCCAAGTGCCAGTTGTGGGCACCTTCCAACATTCTGAAAAATCACTGATTTCTGCCAAACACCACAGCCTGAGGCTGAGCATCTGAGCATGGGAGACCATCACCCACAATTCCACAGCGAAAGAGAGAGAGAACCATTGGCTCAATTGTGATCATGTGATGTTCAGCATCAGGTACTACTCATATTGCAAGACATCACTCATTTATCAAGTTAAAATTTATTAGAAATGTTTGCTCATCTTCCAAACACCTGCAGAACAAGGTGTTTGAAATCCAAGGTTTTACTATATTTTCAACTTCTATAAATATCAATGTATGCTAAAAGATACTTTAAGTAATTCAAAAGGTTATATACTAAGTATTTTTCTCAGACATTTGGATAAACATGGTAGACTAAGGGTGCGTGGTTGGTGCAGGTGGTAGAGCATGTGACTCTTGATCTTGGGGTTATCAGTTCAAGCCCTATGTTGGATGTAGAGATTACCTAAAAATATAATCGTTAGAAAACACAATGGTAGATAAAAAATACAAAGTTATCTCTTGATTTCTCTAAAACTCTATTCAAATGATAGGAAAAACATCCTACAGAGCAGAAACCCACAAACCCAAATAGAAACAGAAAAGAAGCTATCAGCAGACAGTGAGGCCAACAAATTGTAGAGAATGAGCAGTATATGGAGAAATGCAAACTTTCATGAAAGATTCAATAAAGAAGAAAACGACATCTGGTGTACAAATACCTGTGTGTGCTGTGCCCTCTGGAAAGGCTGAGGGAAAAGAAACCCCACATATTTTTGAATATTTTGAATAACTGAGGAGGAGGATGTTGCCTACGTTGGTATATGTGTGTGTTTGCATACACACGCATGTGTATGTATACGTGTATTGAAGTTATTGGCACGTAGGGAAGGTAAATAAGTGGATGGAGTGAGAAAATTCCTAGGTAATAGAATAGCCATGCACTCCACGGCCCTTTATAACAAGCAATGATCACTTTCTAAACCAGCAGAAAATTGGAAGTTGATTTCTGAGGAAAAGAGCATATGAAAAATTCCCACCCAAATACACCCAATCCAAATCCTGTGTATTATTAAAGTTTTTTATTTTTGCTTATCAGTTCAGCTTTCTTTTACTTACAAAAATTCTTCCTGTCCCCCTTCTAATCCTGACAACCACTGATGTTTCTACCATCTTCCAGAATTGTGATGCATCCAGCTTTGGTTTTCTTTTTCAGGATTGCTTTGGCTATTTGAGGTCTTTACTGGTTCCACACAAATTTTAGCATCATTTGTTCTAGCTCTGTGAAAGACGCTGGTGTTATTGTGATAGGGATTCCATTGAATATGTAGATTGCTTTGGGTGGTATCGACATTTTAACAATATTTCTTCTTCCAGTCCATGCGCATGGATTTGGATTTTTTTTCCCACTTTTTTTGTGTCTTCTTCAATTTCTTTCATAAGCTTTCTATTGTTTTCAGTGTATAGATTTTTCACAACTTTGCTTAAGTTTATTCCTGTGTTGTTTTTTTTATGGTTTTTGGTGCAGTTGTAAACAGGATCAATTCCTTGATTTCTCTTCCTGCTGCTTCATTATTGGTGTATAGGAGAATGCAACTGATTTCTGTGCATTGATTTTATATCCTGTAACTTTGCTGAATTCATGGATCAGTTCTAGCAGTTTTTTAGTGAAATCTTTTGGGTTTTCCAGATAGAGTATCATGTCATCTGAGAAGAGTGAATGTTTGACTTCATCCTGGCTGATTTGGATGCCCTTTCTTTCTCTGTTTCGTCTGATTGCTGAGGTTAGGATTTCCAATACTATGTTGAATAATAGTGGTTAGAGTGAACATCCCTGCCATGTTCCTGACCTTAGGGGGAAAGGTTCTCAGTTTGTCCCCATTGAAGATGATATTAGTGGTGGGTCTTTTGTATATGGCTTTTATGATCTTGAGGTACGATCCTTCTATCCCTACTTTCTTGAGGGTTTTTGATCAAGAAAGATGCTCTATTTTGTCAAATGCTTTCTCTGCATCTATTGAGAGAATCATGTGGTTCTTGTCCTTTCTTTTACTGGTGTGATGAATCACGTTAATTGTTTGAGGATATTGAACCAGCCCTGCATCCCAGGTATAAACCCCACTTGATTGTCGTGAATAATTCTTTTAATGTATTGTTAGATATGGATGGCTAGTATCTTGTTGAGAATTTTTGCATCCATGTTCATCAGGGAAATTGTTCTATAGTTCTCCTTTTTAGTGGGGTCTCTGGTTTTGGATTCAAGATAATGCTGGCTTCATAGAAAGAGTTTGGAAGTTCTTCTTCCATTTCCATTTTTTGGAGCAGCTTAAAGAATAGGTGTTAACTCTTCCTTAAATGTTTGGTAGAATTCCCTTGGAAAGCCATCTGGCCCTGGACTCTTGTTTTTTTTTGGGGGGGGGATATTTTTGATTACTAATTCAATGTCTTTATTGGTTATGGGTCTGTTCAAATTCTCTACTTCTTCCTGTTTCAGTTTTGGTAGTTTATATGTTTCTAGGAATTCATCCATTTCTTCCAGATTGCCCATTTTATTGGCATATAATTGCTCATAATATTCTCTTATTATTGTTTATATTTCTGTGGCATTGGTTGTGATCTCTCCTCTTTCATTCTTGATTTTATTTATTTGGGTACTTTCTTTTTTCTTTTCGAATAAACTGGCTACAGGTTTATCAATTTTGTTAATTCTTTCAGAGAACAAACTCCTGGATCTGTCCTACTGTTTTTTGTAATTT